GAATGGGTTCAAAACGAGCCACAATATTCAAGTTATGAATTTTTAGTGTGTAAAAACTGCACTTTCAGCACACTTTTCACCATATTTCTTTAAGAAAAACCGCATATTCAGAGACCTTCTTTAAAAAATTGGATCTCGAGCCAAACTTGAATTTGAGAATATGTTATCAGGGATATCTAGGCGAAAGAACACCTGAATATGACGCGCCGGGTTGGACTTGTGAATCTTTGAACCCCGAATCATTGCGAAATGGCGAACCGATCTTCAGCATGGAAAATACTCTGAGAACATCCATTGGAGAAGTAAACATCACTTGTAACCTGAAAAAGCTTGCTAAATATACCTTGATTATATAACCATAAAACCAATGATATACATGTATGTAATAATGAAATGTAAGCCAAAAAGGTCAAAATAAAGAGGGTAAATTTTGGGGTAGAACAGCTGCCCCTGTTCAATCTTCTTACACCTGAGGATGTAGATTAGTTGGTCTGCCTTTCGTGATCTGAAGGTGGAAGATGATTGAACACTAGAGTACCCATAAATTTGCACTCGTTTGAAATGATACTTGGCTGTATAGATAACATCGGGAATGGGCTTACAGAAGCCATCTAGAAAAGATAATGGAAGATCATCGGAGATGGGCTTAAAGATGCCATCTGGAGCACTGTTGATTTCATGAGATATTCCTTTGTGAGGGTTCTTATTCATGTTGTTGAGGAGGACTCCATTGAGGAATGTTGGTCTTTGTTCAAGAAATAGAGTTTTAGGAACTTCAGTTGTCCATTACTCTACTGGGGAGTCATCTCTTGATTGAAGAGACGGAAGTGAACTGCTATCTGGTCGGGATCCAGGCTTCACAGTGACTTGCTGATGATAATAAGGCCGACTGCTATCTGGTCATATTCATGGCTTCACAGGGACTTACTGAGGAAATGAGATTAAACTGTTATATGGTCGTGCTCCAGGCCTTGCAGTTTCTTTAACTGGAATGGCAATCAGAAGAATATTAGGATTGATTCAACTGAACCAGACAAAAGTCTTGGGGTCAATCTTCAACTGGAATAAGAATCAGAGAGATCTTAGTGGCGATCTGACTGAACCAGAGAAGGTCTTTAATCAACTTTGACTGGAACGGCAATCAGAAGAATCTTAGGATCGATTCAACTGAACCAGACAAAAGTCTTAGGTCAATCTTCAACTGGAATAGGAATCAGAGAGATCTTAGTGTCGATCTGACTAAATCAGAGAAGGTCTTTAATTAACTTTGACTAGAATGGAAATCAGAAGAATCTTAGTATCGATTCAACTGAACCAGACAAAAGTCTTGGAATATCTTCAACTAGAATAGAAATCAGAGAGATCTTAGTGTCGATCTGACTGAACCAGATAAGGTCTTTTGAGAAATCTTCTGAGGAAAACACTGAAATAGCCCTTCATTAGATGTAGCTTTTGAGAAGACTACCAGGTCACGTAAGTAGCCAGCAATGTTTATTGATTTGATCTTTCCTGAAAATGGTAAAGAGTTAGTCGTATGCAATGTCATGATGTATGAAATGCATTGTGCTGATGTTCTCAAAATAAATGAGACTATGTTGTATGCGATGTGTATGTGCATGCCATAATATATGAATATGGGATGTTATTACGATATTTGCTAGTCTGGGAAAATAAATCCCTAACTGCTATTGAAGAGTATTAGGATGCTGAATCCTACGCTTCCGCTAGGGATGATGAATGGAGATGATTTGCCGGGGATTTTCCTTTTCCGTTTGAGGATACTCTGCCGGTAATTCTTAACTCTTGTTTGAGAATAACTCTGTGGAGAGAGATAATGCTTGGTTGAAAAGATTTTACTGATGTGGAGAAATAAACTCTGTTGGGGAATAGACTTCCGCAGTTTGAGGAACAAACTCTACCCGGGGAGGAGGTTTTATAAACTGTTTAAGATTATAAAGCTCGACTGGGGAATACAGATTTCAGCTCTCTGAAGGAACTTTTCTGGAGAAAGTAATTCCTGCTTGGGGAAGAAGAGACCAAAACTTTGGTTGTTTTTACTCTGTGGGGAACATAGACGTCGCTAGGACGTATGCTGAGGATACGGTGATGACTTCGCATCAGGATGTTTCTGCCCTTGTACCTGCTGGAGAAAGTACCTGTGGAGATTTTGTGGATGGATATATGTCGTGATTGTACTTGAACATGTATTGAATGAGTGTCAGAATGACATCCGTCTTTGGATCGTATCTGAACTGTACTTGAAACATGTGTTGAATGAGTGTCAGAATGACATCTGTCTCTGGATCGTATCTGAATTGTACTTGAAACATGTGTTGAATGAGTGTCAGAATGACATCCGTCTCTGGATCGTTCTGTACTGTACTTGAAACATATGTTGAATGAGTGTCAGAATGACATCCGTCTCTGGATCATATCTGAATTGTACTTGAAACATGTGTTGAATGAGTGTCAGAATGACATCCGTCTCTAGATCATATTTGAACTGTACTTGAAACATATGTTGAATGAGTGTCAGAATGACATTTGTCTCTGGATCGTATCTGAATTGTACTTGAAACATGTGTTGAATGAGTGTCAGAATAACATCCGTCTTTAGATCGTATCTGAACTGTATTTGAAACATGTGTTGAATGAGTGTCATAATGACATCCGTCTCTGGATCGTATCTGAACTGTATTTGAAACATGTGTTGAATGAGTGTCAGAATGACATTCGTCTTTGGATCGTATCTAAACTGTATTTGAAACATGTGTTGAATGAGTGTCAGAATGACATCCGTCTCTGGATCGTATCTGAACTGTATTTGAAACATGTGTTGGATGAGTGTCAGAATGACATTTGTCTCTGGATCGTATCTGAACTGTACTTAAAGAGAATCTGAATAAGTATAAGGATGACATCCGTCTCTGGATCGTACCTGAACTGTTTCTAGAAGAGGACTTGGTTTATTTAGAATGTTTCCGTTGGGAATTCCTGTTTAATTGTTTTTGAGAAGAAATTTGCTAGGGAACACTGATTTTTCTTGATTGTACATGATTCGTTGTTGGAATTCATGTCTAATGCCCCAAGTGATTCAGATGGAGATCTGCCCCTGGATATTTGGCATTTTTGAGAGATTCCTTGAATCTTGACTTGACTACCCCATATGATGGACAATGATCATGCCGTGCCCCTTGGTCGGAAGTGTTTTTCCACTTGAGGTGAACCTTTTCATTGAGAAAGTTTTTATTCACTAAATATTCGTCATGTGAATTTCTCTGTTGTCGAACAGATAACTATATGCAAACAACGATATTCAAATAATGCAAGGTTTATGCTTGTCTTGAAGTTTTTGAAAATTCATTTTTTAGTAAAACAAATTTTGCAAGAGAGTGATATCAACTCAGGATTTATAGAAAGTCCTACAGGAGTCAGGATACCTTTTGTAACAGTATGCTTACGAACTAACCTATGCTTCAGTTAGGACTTTTAAGGGTTATAGCATGGCCTGGTTTACGGTTTAAGAAACAAAGGATAAAGGCTCAAATTTTATTTGTACCCACCCGTTCTTCATGATGTTCTTCGATCCTATGCTCAGCTAATTGTGTTTTCAGATCCCAATTGAGTCTGGCTTCTTGTCCTTGATGTTCCGATAATGGTTTGCATACTGAAAGTTTATTTGGAAGAGGAAGTTATTTTGTAATCTTTTTTTTGTCGAGGATTTGTAGTAACCTCTTTTTTTTGTTTTCGTTATCCCTTCTTTTGCCTGAATTGTTTCTTTTATGATTACAGTCAGCGGGATGCCCCAGTTTTTTTCTTAAGTCTCCTTCATAGGTTTTGACTTAGCGGGCTTTTATTTTGAGAGATAATGACTACCGATTTTAATGATTATGCGGAACCATCACCATCTTCTGATTTGGAAGGACGTATTTGAGGGCATTCATTATGTATGAAGTAGAATATTGCGACTCAATGCACATCTGAATTAACTGAGAAAACTACCCTGCCCCAGGTTATGATTAAGGATTTTAATTTGTGTGAAAAGAAAAACTCCTACTTCTTTGGCTCAAAGGGGTTGACTAGGGATTATCTTCCTTATAACTCCACTATTTTGGATTTGAAACAACGCCTGTACATTGTCAGCAAGGTCTATTCAAAAGCACACTGTGTGAGATTGTGGTATCATTTTCGTCATCCTCGCTCTAAAGGCTTATAGCTTTTTAATCGAGAGTCGAATATCATGTAAAGGAAGCAAGAAAACAGTTTAAATAAAATGACAATGAAATCATTCAAGACAAACATATGTTATGCATTAATGGGAAAACCAAAGTTCGGCATAACAATAATTGTTTGAACAACAAATGAAATTACAAATGAAAAATAAAAAATGAACTGGACGTTCTCAATGATTTGGCCTAGGAGAAGTGATCACTTTGTGAGTCTCTGGGGGGTCGAATTCAATCTCTTTGGCGTCAATCATATCCTGAATTTTGTTCTTCAGAGCCCAGCATCCATTTGTATCATGTCCATGACTATCAGAATAGTATGCACACCTTTCGTCGGGATGGAAACTAGGAGCAGAAGTATTGGGATTTCGCAGAGGAGCCTTTAACGTAATCAATCATGCTTTCAACATGTGTTGTAACGCTTGAGCTAGTGACATGTTGATTATGGTGAATTGTCTCTTAGGTATGACCTCTTTATGTTGGTTCCCATGTTAGTGTCGTTGCATAGGCGTAGGATTAGAGACCAGTATTGCCCCCACAGATTGATTGCAGTCATCTGCCTTATTACGACCCTTCTGGAAATACACAGGTTGTTATCTTCTTCATGATTATCCCCCTTATTTGATGGAGTTGAAAGATCTAGAGCTCCTTTAACCGGTCTTCTGAGTCTTCTTCCCATATTAAGGATTCCAGCCGGTTTCTTTGCCTTCTTCTTCTTCTCTTTGATAACGAGAGCTTTTAGTTCTTCCTGCCCCTGACCAAAGCCATGAACATTTATTGAAACTGAGCATTTTGAGTCTGTAGATCCTTCACTGTTTGTTCTAGAGCCATTGCTGAAATAAACAACAAAGAGGATGAGAAACCTGCTTTGAAACCTGCTTATGCAATGATGATATATGTATGCAATGTTTTCAAGGATCCCACGGGGTAAACAAGAAAATGTTAGAAGCTGAAATTTGCAGCTTTGATTGAAGAACTTTGTATCATTGAGTTTCCTTCTACGAGAGTCAAGCTCACCATATCAAGTGGGTCATAGCCTCTGACTCAAGTTGTCTTGTCTTGGTCCTTTGACGACATTGGCTAGAGGAAAATAAATCCCCTTGCCCCTTGCTAGACGCTTAACCTGCATCACAGACCCTTGAGATCCTTGAAATGGTTAGTATGATATGCCATGTTATGATGTCATGATTATGCTAAGAAATCACAGATATAGCAAGCACAAGAAAATCACACAAAGACATTAGGTTTAAGGCTTACATGGGTTTTAAGGTCATACCTTATTGAAGTTGGATTGGTTCAACTTATCCTATAATAGTAACCGGGTTCTAAGGGATATCAATATCACTGACCTTTCCCACAAGCTTCGTTCAATAAGCGACTGACTCGCAACCAAACAAAACTCAGGAGTCAAGTCTTAATGAGTGTAGTATCAAGTATCTTCCGACCTTGGGAATACACCAAAGACGGCCATCTCACTACGTCCTAATGGCCAAATTGTTCAATTAAAGGTTCTAAGGTCAGTTGACGCTTTATGACACCATGCAGCGGCTCCGTATTCTCCTTGATTAACTCAAGGGCTACTGGTACCAACCAAAGTGTCGTATCAACATAGCCATCGCTTCAACCGTGTCGGTATACCCCGCACAATTTCCACGATCTATTGCTACTTACCTAAAAGGTTTCCCCAGATCCGGGTGTAGGATCTATAGTAACCTAAACAATACCCTTAAAAGTAAAGCAATCAAACATGCAAAGAAGCAAGTTTAAAATGATCTAGACCCTAAGGTAAACCCCACTTTTTATTTTTCCCCAGCAGAGTCGCCAGTTCTGTGATACAGTGAAAAAACCGATTGTTAATACTGGTTTGCATTTTTTGTTCGCAAATGTCGTGGTAAGCAAGAGTCGCCACCGACTTTTCTTTTATCCAACAAAGTAAAGGGTGAAAAGAACAGAAAAATACGTTTTTCGAGATTTTGAGTAAGAAGGGTAGATTATGGAAAGGGAAGGTGTTATAACCCTTTCCATTTGTGGTTTTCCACAGGCTCTTAAGTACTTGCTCATTTTTTAAAACTATTTTCGTGTTTGTGTGTTTTGAAAGATTTTGTTTGTTTTATGGTAACTCTTGTATCAGTCCTCAAGAGTGTGATAAAGCGTTTTTGAAAAGTAATTTGAAAGTGTGTAAGTGTAAAAAGTTGTTTTTGAGCAAGTACTTAAGAACTATCTACCTACTCGAAAAAGGATGTTCTTTTCCTCCCTATCCTTTAGACAGTGTTATCCTACTATTAGTGAGTAGGTATACCTATCGTTGGATGTATGAGGGACAAGCACGGGTCATCGTTATGGTCATAGAAGGAAACATATAGGGATACCTTAGCAGTTCGAAGGGACTGTCATCATATATTCGTAGGCAACATCGAGGGACAAGATCATTTCTCGTAGGCAACTAGAGGGACATTGAGGGACTATGATCTTTATGATAACTTTAACCAAGGGTCTTTTCTAAGGGTATCCCTACGTTCGAGGGACATGACCATTGTTTTTTCGAAGGCAACAAGTGAGGTTACCCTAGAGGTGCGAGTGTGCAAATGATTCAGTTCGGTTATTTATCTTGAAATTAGGGTTTCCTATCGTTCATTTTTATCTTTAAATACAATCCTATTAGTCTAAGTATTGCATAAAATATAGTAGCTGAAGGTAAAGGCGGAATTTTGGCCACCAGAACGGGTTCAAAACGAGCCACGATATTCAAGTTATGAATTTTTTAGTGTGTAAAAACTGCACTTTCAGCACACTTTTTCACCATATTTCTTCGAGAAAAAACGCACATTCGGAGACCTTCTTTAAAGAATTGGATCTCGAGACAAACCTGAATTTGAGAATATGTTATCAGGGTCTATTAGCAAAAGAACACCCGAATATGACGCGCCAGGTTGGACTTGTGAATCTTTGAACCCCGAATCATTGCGAAACGGCGAACCGATCTTCAGCACGGAAAATACTCTGAGAACATCCATTGGCGAAATAAATGTCACTTGTAATCTGACGAAGCTTGCTAAATATACCTTGATTACATAACCATAAAACCAATTATATGCATGTATGTAATAATGAAATGTAAGCCAAAAAGGTCAAAATAAAGAGGGTAAAGTTTGGGGTACAACAACATAGATTCTGCCTGCGGAACTTTCAGAAAGGGACCCCCCACAAAGTAGCTCTTTTTCAGCAAACAAGGAGGCAACTCATATTTTTCTGGAGTCTTCTCCAAAGTCAAGTCCATTGTCACCCCTCCAACTCGGTGACGCTTCCTGGCCGAACTTACTTGTTGTGGAGAAGGATGCTCCCCGGTAGGAGTATAGGAGGAATTCCCCGAACCCGTCGGAGGCAGAACCCTGGCACCACCCAGGTTTCTCTTCAGAAGGGGACCTTTCTTCAAGAGCTTCGTCTTGCTAGATACGGAGAGCTTTAGCATATGCTCTTGAGCATTCGACATTTTATCTGCAACAAATAACAAGGACAAGTCTATAAAATAAAAAACAAACAAGGAGGCAACAACGAAACAAAAGCTACATAGAAGGGCCAAGGCTTCCTCGTGCATAGCAAAATCGAGGAGCCCTTTTGTATTAATAAGAAGAGCCTCGAACATAGGTTCCCCCTCCTTACCAAGAATAATATCCCCACGCTTGGTCACGCACTGAGTGGGGACAAGCTATCGACGAAAGCCATCAGTTTATTATAGCTTGCCCAGTCATCCTCGTCCAAGTCGTCCGAAAAAACGAAACACTCATCGGATTGTCGGTCAAAATGGTCACAGCTCCAAGAAAAATGGAACCTCTAGACTTTGTGCATCCTCTGCCTACCGTCCTTGCTCAACAAGGGTTTCTCATTGTCATCCGTCTTAACTTGTCAGCAGAGCATGAAATCGATGGCCTTCTGAGACACGAGTATGACTAAGTAATGCCTGTTCTTGAACGCCCAAATGGACTCCGAGTAGGCCTTGAAAAGTTTCCTCGACTGCTTCAAGGAAACCCATTCGAACATACCCCCCGGGTTATTTGCTGTTGAATGTGGAAACAAGCAAAGAACATGGGAATTGTGGCCCCAATCTTGAGGTGATCGCATACAATCTCGAACGCCCGCATGAAGGTCAATGCGTTCGTGTTAAGCTGTGAGGGCGACAGATCCAGATGGGCAAGAACCGCCACCTGAAGATCTAAGAAGGGTAGACGAATCCCCATCTCCCTAAAAATATACTCATACATAGGAATCTGGTCGATCTCAAACGGGGAACATATCCACTCGTTTTCCCCGGGAAACACGACCTTCCAATCCTCCCCGATGTTTGAAGAAATCACTCCACCCCCAATTGCGGTAAAAGCATTGTCAGGGAAGGAGGAAAATAGAGAGGGAATTCCCCGTGGTTCAGGAGCAATCCACTTGTCAGGGTCCGAGGATGGAGACATTTCCATGAAAGTCTCAATCTCCTCGGCCATGACTTCATCTTTGGAATCTATAGATATTTCACTTGAAAAGTAGAGGACAAAAATGAATTCGACGATCAAATCAAATCCACCCTTCCACCTCTAAATCAGGAGAAAAGGGGGAGAACAATGTCCTCGGCCAAAATCCCTTGCTCAAACGAGGATATCACAAATCCAGCTCGACGGGTAAAACCCATAAAATCTAACGAGGAAAGCCTCCTCGACATATTGACCCAAAATTTTGTTTGAACATTCATCAGAAAACTCATACATTCATCAGAAACTTCATGCATTCGCCAAAAAACTCATAAGACTACGACCGACAAGCTAAGCTCACTGCCACGACTACGACCCATAATGGAAAAAAACACACAAGTCTACTAAACCTTACCCTCCCATTGGCAATGGCCCTGAAAAGTGGCATAACCACCGCCAAGCACCAACAAGATGTCGGAGCAACACTCCCCTAGCTTAATTTATCCTATCAGCATGCAATCTAAACGAAATGAAGTTAAACCTATGTTAAAAACGAAGAAGCAGGAAACTTACGTGGTCGGAGAGCTGGGAACTTTGGTCAAAAAACTCGGTGACAGAGGCGGACTGAAGCGTGCAGTGATGGTGGCGGTGGAGAAATAAACAGAGATATTGAAGAAGAGAGAGAGAAGCAAAAGTGGAAATGAACTACCTTCTGCCCAATTTATAGGGCGGCCTCAGCCCACGTGCCCGCGCACGCACGGCCTAAGGCAACGTAGGGGTCATCATTAACCCTGGCTCCTAGACTGCCATCATCATGCATTATTGTGCAGGCACACGGCTCGCTGCAGGCGTGGCACACAACCTCTCAAAGTCCAATCAACCGTCCGGCTCCCCATGTGCCGAACATATGAGACCATATTCGGACCCCTCGAACACGCTTGTCCATATACACATCCTGTAGAATCCTCGTCTCCCACAATAAAGCGCCAACAATATTATCTCCTCCTCGACACACGGGCTGACTCTAAGTCATCACTCTTACGCCCAATAGCAACGACTTGGGGGGCTACTGTTCTGGACTGGTCCAATGGCTAAGCAAAGCCCAATCCACTTTTGCATGTAGGATAGCTCAGTGTCCTTGGCCTAATAAAACATGAAGGATAAAGGACATTTTATCCCTTCTTCCCCTCACCCGAGGAGCTCTGGCCGTCTGACCACCTGGGTATGCATGTTTACTTCTATCCATTCAAACAAACTATTTCTTGTTCTGTCATGATACACGAGGATAGCCACCCAGGAACAACCAGAAATCACGTTTTCCCGTGAGACAATTCTCTGCCCGTTGTAACGGCTAGTTACAAGCACCTTTGCCTGTTACAACGGCTAATTTCTAGTAGTTACCTATTTTTGAGGAACCTCATATCTAGGCCCAAAAATAGGAACCAATGGCCAAGCATCGGGGAACTATATAAATCCTCACACTTGTGAGGGCCAGATATCCAATATTCACTCTAAACAAACCCTAATCTCTTTCTTATATCTCTTTGCACTCTTACTTACTTGAGCGTTAGAGTGCATTGCAGGTACACCTCCCTCCTCCTCATTGATTTCAACTTTCCAGACGTCATATGTCGGTCCACTTCAGGTTTTGATCAACTGGTAAGATCAATATATATATATATATATATATATATATATATATATATATATATATATATATATATATATATATATATATATATATATATATATATATATATATATATATATATATATATATATAACAAACTCGTTATGTGTTAGGTGTGAATTGCAGAAAGTTGTTGGATGCGCTTGCACTTAAAATTATTTGTGATCACTAAGATGATAATTCTCGTGTGCTGAAAAGGTTATGGAATGAGTAAGGTACCTTTGTGGTAGTCGGTCGGGGTCGACATAGTCAACCCAGAACAGTTTCCTCCTAAGCCCTTGCCTAGCGTAGCAAGCGGGGGCTTGTTGCTTCATCCTCGGATGCCGACCACCCCTTGATAACCTTCAGACGTGCGAAGGGTAAACATTTCAGTTTCTGGGAGAATAACTCATTTAATGTTTCATGCTTCAAACGTCTTTTTAGAAGTATCGTGATTATGGCTCTTAGATAACCGAAACACTTGATTTCTACATGCGATTGATTTGATACATTAAGTAGAGTCTTTTTGCATGTTAGATTATAATTGTTGAAGAGTCGGTGATACTTTCTTTAAGTTATTCATAAGTTTAGAAACTATCTCATTCTTTGACGTTTTACTTCCCTGCATATGAAAAATTGATGCATTATGGGTAAGAAATCGTATAAAAGTACTCACAAGTCCCAAAATAATACTCCATCAACTTTGGTGGATTCTGTTTACTCTTTTACTATTTCGGCTTTCTCTAAAGTATGGGGTCTTGATGACGCTTTTATCGAAGTCGTTCCATCTTCTTACTGGGGAGTCTTGAGTCCCGCGGTGGATGAGAGAATCTAGTGTAAGTATGGCGATTACACCACCCCCTTTTACGAGTGTACTTTCTCTGTCTTGGGTTTTCGTCTCCCCTTCAGTGCCTTTGAGATAGAAGTCTTGAAGCACATGGCACTAGCTCCTTCGCAACTTCATTTTGTAAGTTGGGCGTACGTGAAAGGTCTACCAATATTGGTGTGAGTACCTAAAAATGAAGTCTTATGTGACCCTTTTCTTCCATTTCTTTAATTGTCGTCGTAAACCTATGTTCCGGGAGCGTAGCTGATGTTTTGTTTCTTTAGAGTCGATTGTGTGTTTCAAGCTATCTAGTTGTGTGCTTTCACACTCAAAGAAATCTCATACATACTTTCAAGCTATCTAGTTGTGTGCTTTCACACTATTTACTCATAACGCAATAATATAAGGGTGACAAATGAGCATGTTTTCCCTATTTAAGCCTACATCTGCGAAAGCCCACAAAAAATAGAATAAAGCAGGACAAACATAATTAAGAGTGAGGCTAAAACCTTAGTTTGTTTTGCAAAAAAGTGAGGGCAAAACAAGGCAAGCTTGTGGACGATACATTTTTTAAGACTAAAAATACAAAAAAAAAAAAAACATGTTAATTCCCGAGTTGGCAAAAGTTCAAAAAAAAAATAGTAGAACGAAGAAAGCATAACATATCCAACAAATTAGATCCATTTTACCACCTCTACCATAATAAGTTCAGTGATAGCAAATTCTTATCTCATCTGCAAATTTTAGATTATGTCAAAATTCAAGTAGGTGGTGGTGTAAGGCTAAGATCAAAACTTCTCTTTCCACTTTCATATCATAGAGGGTGCAACCCTTTAAATTGACTTGGATTCTACATTTCACCATAACTTTTTTTTTATTGCTATCTTTTATTTCTCCTCTTGTATAACTTTTTTTTATGTATTCTTTATTTTGAATAATTTTTTTAACTTATTAAAAAATAGGCATCTTATTTTCCCAATAATTTATACTAATTCCAAAGAAAACATTTCCTCAATAATAACAATAAATAAACAAATAACATTGGATCCTCCAACTAAACAAAAGATCCTCTGACCTGTCCAACATATTGTATTCTCCCTTCCCATTACTTTTTCATACACACATACACAAAAACAACATAAAAAACAAACAAGAATAACAATAACAACATCAATATAGACAAAATTATGATAATGCCATCATTTCAAAAGCATCCAAGAAGTTTCTTTGGAACAGTTCCAGTTGCACGATGCTTTGCAGCTATTTCCTCTGCTTTCAGATTCTCTTCACCACGTTTTGCTTCAACCATTGCTCTCTTCTCTTCTGCTTGTTTATGAATCATTGCTATTTTGTTCTTCATTCTCTCACCATATTCTGCTTTCTTTTTCTCCAATTGTTCCTAAAGTTTCCAAAAATAAATATTTAATTTATACTATTTGATAAAAGCAAAAAATAATTGACAAGAACAAAGAAAAAACATCATAAGTTTTTTGCTGTCAATAAAAGCATATACTATATCATGTATATTATTATTATGACATGTAATGCACCAACATGCATTATCATTTATAGTGCTATTATATTTTAATCAATAATAATTACTTTAATAAATAATTCAGAAAATCAGATTAAGTATTACCTCCATTTTTCTGAGTTGAGCTTCAAGAGCTGCTTTCTTGCTGTTTTCCCAAGCAGCAACAGTAGAGAGCTGCTTTTGTGCTCTGTTAAAATAATACAATAATTCATAACTTTTAAGATACAGTCAGGGTCGTTACAGATGTTGCAATATTGATTGCAGTTTTAGCGATATGAATTAAGCACAATATTTTTTTAATCAAAAAAACAGTAAATAACAGTATCGATATTGACACTTGTCTTGAGATTCGCACTTTCTGATACCGTTTAGTCGCGGATGTTTTTGCTGTAACGGACTGTTTTTTACTACCTTAGTTTTTGATATGTTTTGTACAAATATTTAAAACAAAGATGAAAATAAATTCTTACTTATTATCTGCTTTGGATTTTTCACTTTCTTCCCATGCTTTCACATTAGATAATCTTTTCTCTTTCTCGATTCCGGCAAGAGCAATATCTATAGGCCATAACAATTTATAAGTTGAAAACAAAACAAGTTATATCGACGAGTTATCGACTTGTCATAAGTTGTTTACATAAGTAGAAAAGACAATACTAACCTCTATCAAGGGATCCACCTGAGACTTTCTTTTTAACAGGATCTGGTGTCTCTGTATACCAAAAGAAAATGGTAATTTCATTCTTTATTGGATTCTAAATTGATGCTCACTTTCTTATTTTGTTCAATAAATTAAATTAAAGATGCTAATGAGACATGATAAATGATTAGAATAACTTTTTTCTATAAATCAAAGCATCATTTACATAAAGAAAAAGACTTTTCCTTGCAACATGGGGGACAATACTAATTTATAAACAGTTTTGAGGTGCTAATGAGAATTGTTTTAATAGGGACAATTGAGAAATTATTTATTAACGTATAGAACAAGAAATGATGTAACAAATTGAGTATATATAAATAAATAGCTTAGCTTGGGCCTTGAGGACCAAAAACTGTTGGTAGCTAGATATTCTCATGAAAATGTAATGAATAAAGGAGAGAGCAATCATTTATGTTGCTATAATGAAAATAGAAAGAGTCAAACACACTTTTGGAAGGCAAAGAAAATGAGAGTACCCTACCCATATTAACAAACAGGTCACATCATAGAAAGCATCCAAGACCATAACTAATAATTGCAAACCATACCTAATTACAGATCATTGATTGAAGATATGAACTAAGCATTAGAAAAATTGATAAAGAAAAGGGAAAGTGGATTACTTAAAATTGAAAACTTTCTCAACTCATAAACAAAAGCTCTCAAACTAACAATGAAAATTGAAAATCATAAAAAGCCCATAAATAAATAAATAAAAAGTAGAACTCTTCCATCCCATTAACAAAAACATTGGATAAAACACCAAACAAGAACAAAAAAATCATGCTTTAAGACAATTACAAACACTAATGAATAATGATTAAATATATAGAAAAAAAACCATAATTTCATTAAGAAAAATTCGAGAGACGAAATAGTAATAACCACTAAAAATTCACACAATTCTAAGTACTGAGAGATTCGAATCCCGAGGATGACAGTCAAATTAGATATATCGAATTCTGTCAGTTGAGTTAAAATTCACGTGAAGCTTAACTCCTTCTACGAAACCCACCGCTAGCTATATATTGATTCAATTGCAAAAATTGAATTTTGACGACAACCCATGATTTTCAAAAGCCAACAGATTGAAAACTTATACATGGGATGAATAAAAAAAGAGAAAACAAACTCACTCTCATTATCCACAACAACAAGAGCCTTTGTTTCCTCCGCCGCAGGTGGTGGTGGCAGTGCAGCAGCTTTCTTATCAGCAACATCAAGCGGCGGCGGCGGCGCCTCAGCTAGCTTGGGTGCCGCCGGAACCGGAGCCGGAGGCGTAGTTGGGACCTGAGCTGGAACTGGAACGGTTTCTTCTTTGGCTTGGAGCTCAGCCATAGGTTCGGTAAAATTAATTAAATAAAATAAAATTATATAAAGAGAGAGTTAGAAGAAGTTAAGGTTTGTTATCTGAAAAGAACCGAACAAAAACAACGTATTTGTAGCAACGTTAAGATGAACAAAGGTGTGTGTGGCTTTTCAACTTAAAAGAGTGTTTTTTTTTTTTTTAATTTTTATTTAAAAGCGAGACCGTGTTGTGTGTTGTGTGTGTGTGAGCACCGTGTTTTTCTTTTTGGTTGTTATTTGGAGAATTAGAGCCGTTGATTTAACATGAAGTTTGATCGTGTGGTGGATGTAGAATTGCCGACAAGGTGATAATTGATAAGTGAATGGGATTATGCCACGTGTTATTGAAAAATGTGAATGATCCATGGCGAGGTGGATGACAACGTCGCCTTCTGCTACGGGTTCTTCTTCGGTTGGTGGGTTCCATTGTGTTAACGTGGGACCATGTTTCAAGGAGATTGTGATAATGTCGACAAAATTATGAATAATCCATGGTTGATCGTGGTACTATTTTATTCAGATCTTTGTATCTTTTATTTTATTTATAAGATTTGCATAAATATATGTTTGGGAATATAAATATTTATAGACGCATAAGAAAGTAATGGATAATGTTTGAGATGGGTTAGATTTCAAATCACATGATACATAAAGATGAAAGAAGAAAGACGATAGTAATAAATTTGTTGAGAAAAACCTTTATACATAATTGTATTTAAAATTTTAGTTATAAATTTATTTAAATACATAAAATGAATTGCCATATAGGTTATAACAAAAATATGTTTAATAGTTAACTAAATTATAACTCCTGAAGTTAAACATATTTTTGGGACGCAATCTCAGAAGTTTTTGCTT